TATTTCCTGCTGAATCACAATCTTCACACTTATATCAAAGACACTTACAGTGGTGCCTTGAGTTGCGAACTTAATTCGTTCCGGATGATAGGTGTCACTCAAGTTGGTCGTAACTGAAAGCGCCATTTCCCATAGGAATACACTGAGAAGCAATTAATCTGTTCCAGCCATTTTTTGGTTGTATCTCAAGGCGCTGGTTGTATCTCAAAGCGTTAGTTCCCATAGGAACTAATGCAAAAGCAGTTAATCCGTCCACTGGGGGAGACTTTTTTTAAACATAAGATGACCTCTAAGGTTAAAAAAGAGCAGGAAAGGAGGGAGGGAGGGAGCAATGGGGAAAAGAGGCCTATTTTCCCGGCTGTATCTCAAAGCACCGATTGCAAGACAAAGCAAAATGTTGCGACCGGAGCTGGTTCTAACTCAAATTGGTTGCAAGTCAAGACGGTTGTAAGCTAATGGACAGGATACTACAAATAATATGTTACAGTCCTTGCCTAAGGAAATGTATTTCCCTTCAGCCCAGCCCAATCTTGCTGAAGCTAAGCAGGTCTAGGTCTGGCTAGTTCTTAGATGGGAGATTGGCTGGTCAGTTCCATGGACTGTGGCTTAACATGAAGTAACACGAAGTGATGGCTACTTTTCAAAGTCTCAGGCAGAGGGCTTTTCCCTTAAGTTTTGAAATGTTCAGTGATTAAACTGAGAAACTTCTGCATGCCACTCACATGTTCAATGGCCCCATTCCCCCTACATATAGGCTTGCCAGGCCAATGAAAGTGGGCATCAGGGAAGGAACAGAGGTACAAAGTAATTACAATGAAGTGTACTAGGCTCAGAATATGTTTCCCAAACTGGCTGTGCTGGCAAGTGGCATTCTGGGAGTTGTATTTTTTTAAAAAGGAACTGATCCCAACTCCACTTTAGACACACATCATCTCAAAACAAATGCTTCAAAATGCAGTGGGAGTTACAAAGTTGAGTCCAACATACTTTGGAATCTATATCAATAAAATGGGTCCTACTAGATTTCAGGAGATTCCCATTTTGGTGTAGTGGACAGAGTGATGGACTAGGACTCTGGGGAGCAGAGTCAAATCCCCACTCAGTCATGGTAACTCACTGGGGAGTGGAACTGGTAAAACCACTCCTTAAAGATTCCATTTTCCTTGAAAACCCTATTAGGGTTGCTCTAAGTCAGTTCTGACTTGACAGTACAGAACACACACAACAACAAGATTTGGGGTACCTGAACATTACTGCTCTCTCTAGTCCTAATCAAACATTCAGTACCCAGGTGGTCTAAACACTGAGGGAGTATGTGCTGGTCTCACCTCCTCAATTATTTCTTTACTCACACCTGTTGGAGTATGCAGATCAGTTGTCTCCCAGTATGCAAGTAGGTGATTCTGCCAGTCACTCAGTTCTACCCTGCTATTGGGGCGCCATCGTGCATTGATCACTTCTTGCCCCTCCTCTCTCTTGTGTGCTTTCTTCCTTGAAGAAGGGCCTTTTCCAAGATGGAGATTGCCAGAGCACGTGCTATCTGATTGCTCTCTCTCCATCCATACTTGCATCCATGCCCTCCAGCTTTAGGGGGTGGTTTACCCAGTTTAGAAACATTCTTTAAAGCTAAGGAAACTTGCCTGGAATATGTCAGACAAACAACCTTCTTTGTTTTTCATTCAAACGCTATATTCTGATGTTAAGTACTGAAATACTAAAGTCTGTAGTTAATAAACCTTTTTCTGAAGTTAATACAAGTTAACTCCATGTGTTTTTTACTCTGTACTTAATTTAGCTCATTCGAGATAATTAGTCAGAACACACGTTGGTCTCTAACAACACGAAGGAACAGATCAGAAGAGGGCGACTTGCTGAACAGTGACGATTCTCCACATGAGCCAGGACCTTGATTGCCCTGTTTTCTGGCTTGTGTAGTGAGCTTTGATGAATTAACAACTCTCCCCTCTTCAGATCTTTCCCTTCACATAAGGACAGAAGCAACAGGGGTAGCACACTCTTTGGCCTCATACATTTAGCCCACCCAGATATGGAATGGCAGAATAGAGTTTCTGTCTTCTGTGTTGGTCAAGGCCACAGGAAAACCACGTATGTTTGCCACCTTCCTGTCATCGGTTAACCAGAGTAGGGCCATTCCTAGCATAAGGGAGAGTGAGGCAGCCTATCGGTGGCAGGAGATTTTATTTGTAGCAGCTGAAAAGAAGTAAGCAATCCATTTTGCTGAGTCTATTCGTCTCCTTTTGCCACCTGAATTCCTGCTTCTTGTACTAAAATGTCTTCAGCTATTCTGGTTCAGAATTTCTTACTGAATAGACAGAAAGCTAGATTGCATGTCAGACATGAGTAGTACAGATATATGGTTCTAAAAGACTGGACGATCAAACAACAGGGATATTCAGCATCCATTCTATACAAAAAGAAATTGTGTAGATTTGCTGTGCTAGTTTATAACCCTTGGAAGGTGCCCATGCCCGCTGAAGATTCTGTATCCTTTATGCTTGATTTCATTTTCATTTGCTGAATAATTGGGCAAACCTATTTCCTGCTTAGCTGGACTTTCAGACCTCACTTTGTATCCTTGTATTCTCCTGTCTCCACAATAAATACGTGTGTGTATGATCGTGCATGTGTGAATGTGCATAATGTGGATTGTAAAGCTGGAGGAGATCATTTAGCACAGTGCAAGAGATCAAGATGGCTGCACAGCCTCCACTTGAAGACTTCCGATGGAGATAAACCCACAAAACTAGATGTGCCTTCATGTAACTTACAAGGTCATGTTTTGACCACAACATTATTTGCTATGGTAAATAGGTCCATATTTAACATGTCACAAGACTCTTTGTTTTGTTGTTTATTTGTTTTTTACATTTTTTATTTATTTATTTATTTATTTATTTATTTATTTATTTATTTATTTATTTATTTACTTATTGGTGGAACACTTCTTGAAACCTTTGGAACTAGCAATACTTGAGCAATCTAGTCTTGTGAATGCAGGTCAAATGGCCTTAGCATTTTAGAATGTGCATAGACCAGAATGTAGACATTTTCCAAATTTCGTATATCCCCAAATGTTTAGCATAATTCTCCATTCATGACATGTGTTGAATAAATTTAAAATTATTATTTGGAGATAAATAACTTTTGTGATGAAATGTGCATTTCATGAGAAAATGTGCTCAATAATATATCTTAAAACATGTATTTATATGCAAATATCCACACCAAATTCTTTTTTAATCATCTGATTAGCAAAAAAGAGAGGGTAAAATGGACACATGAATGAGCATCTACAAAAGTGATGTTGACAGCAAACACAGCATCTGTTCCTAGCTGGGACCTCCAGTATGCTTTACAATGAGATTCCCAGAACTGACAGAATAAAATAGAAATAATAGCAATATCTCTAGCTTGTGGGATTGGCAAGTAATATGAAACCATTCAGGTGAATTTGTCTTTCATAACTTGCCACCCAGTTTGCACTATTAGAATCAGATAGCCCAATTCATTATTCAACATTTCCAACAAAGCTATGATTTCCAGACTATACTTTCTGGGATATAGCAGAGAGCTGGGATGTTGCTTTGGGGCCAAAGGCTAAAAAGGATGCAGCCAGAAAAGGAAGGAATGAAAATTTGCCAGTCTTCCAGAGCTATGAGGATGGGAGAAGGATACAATAATATGCAAGGCCAAGCTGTGCAAAACCCCTGCCTTATATTCCCAAGTTTCCACAATGTGAGGTTAGGTTTCAGGTGCTCCTGAGCTCAAACTGTTTTCTACTCCAAGATCCTGAACTTACCCAGGAACTTGCCATGTACTACATCTCCATGGATGCATCTAGGGAGGAATTAAATACCACGACTACATATTTGCTGAGAATAGCAGAAGCCATTTGACAACCCTTGGCTAGATAGCATTTCTACTCATAGTCAGCCTGATGGTTATAGCGTAAGTGGTTTGCAGACTGTGGTCTCTCCTGTTGGACATGTTTTCCATATTTCTGTGAAACTATTCAAGAGGCATCTACTAAAGACACTGAGGTGTGCTGTGTGCATGGCTGAACTGTTGTACAACCTGCCCTACTTAAAAGATGAAGTGTTGTTTATGCCCGTGCCCTCCTGTCCCCAGCAGTGAAGACAGGCCAGTTCCTTCAGTCTCAACTGCCATTAATTTAGATGCAAAGATCTGAATGAGATTTCAGGTTAGGAAAGGTATTAGGTCTTACCCTTGCATTTCATTCATTCATTTACAGTGCTATCCACCGAGCCTTAGTTCCAGTACATTTTTCAGCCTTAACTGGAAAAAGCACACAGAATAACCTGTGTCCTTTTACTTCCTTCAGGACACTTTGCTAGTTCTAAAGAATGTATTCAGATTTCCATCAAAACCAAGGAGCACATCGTATTACTCCCCTATTAAAAAAATTAGCTTCAACAGGGAACTTCATATTTTGAACAAGGGAAAAGCTGGGTGTGTGTGTGTGTGTCTTGATCCACAATGGGAACCTGCACCAGTTTGTCGCTGGATGCCACTTGCAACTCAACTGCTATTGGCCCTCAAAAGGCACGATCCAGTGTAACCAAAAGCTTTGGAGCAAATAGCAGAGAGGAAGGAATCGGGGGTGGAAAACTGCCACTTTTTTTTCTTCAGAACAGAAACAGCCAGTTGAAACCATTTGTACGAAATGTAAATTAAATGAATAACATAACATACTGTTTGGTCCCATTGCATCTGTTTTTTCTTTTTCCCGTATGGTAACGCCTGTACCAGTTATTTTGGCAAGTCTGAATTGGACAGTTTCAACACTCACTTGCTCCGAAATATAAGCTGAAAGAATAGAAGTAGTGCCCTTACTGTCTTCTTGGTTGTTGCTTTTCTCATGATGTGCTCCCAAAAGGAAGGAAAACAACAACAACCCAGCAACAAGCATCCCAGTTTCAAAAGGAAGATAGTTGCAATCATACACTCTTACAAGGTAATGGATTGGTAATAATATATTTCTGGCTCAGAACTCAAAATATCCACTGTAATTAAATTAGACAACGTAGACAATTATAACATCAGAAAGTTAGAATATTGAACTAGAGATGAGGGACTAAACCCAACATTAGTCTTAGGAAGAGTTGGACCCATTTGGATGATTAGGACTTGTTAGACATAGCGAACTTAAATATCATTGATTTCTATGGGTCTACTTTTCATAGGACCAACATTGGATTAAGCCCAACAACTGGAATATGCCTAATGGAAATGTTCAGGAAAGGAAATAGGGAAAGGAGGCTGCCTGGCATGCAAAGCAGCACTAGTTCTTGCTCAATATACTCTTCAGACTTCTCTCTACTGCTTCATCTAATTCTTCTTCCAACTCCTCCTTCTTGGACATGGCCAATTTAGACTGGTAATCTTTTACTATTTGGTCTATGTAAGGCGCACTCTGAGTCCCGTGCAGCATTAATGTCCATTCCTTGAGGACTCCCTTCTGGGGCAAGATGCCAACAAACCCAACTTCAAGAACCCAAGTACCTCTGGGGTCCTCTCCCCAAGAATGGGTTGTCATGAAAGGCCACTTGTCGAAGCCCACCTTGGAATCATCATCTCTTGGACGTCGGCTCAGTAAAATGGATTTGGTCCCCATTGGTGATGTCATGTTGATATTCAAGTCCCCTCTCCTGGTAGAGTTCACAGTGATGACTGCCTGGACATGTTCAAGGTAACGGACAAAGTTCTCTTTTCCCTCACAAGCATCTGTTGTAAGTGTCAGAACCAACTTGCCACTGGGTGGTATTTTCCTGGGGGTTACAAAAGGATCAAATACTTCTGCATTAATAGTTTTGAATGCACATTTATTCATGTCCACATGAGAATTTGAAAATGAAGGTGTAAAAGAATGGTCTTCTCTCCTCAAGCATGCACTTGAGAACTGGTTGTCTTTGAACATGTGCAAAGACATTCTAGTTTTTCACATTAAAAAATCGCTTCCCCTTAAAAAAAAACAATTAATAAGGCAAGGCCTAGTGGGAGTAAATACAGTCATTCCATCCTAAGGAACTCTTGGATTTCTCCTTTGCTCAGATAATTAGATTTTTTTTCTAGACAAATCTAGTCCAATTCCCTGAACAAAATTTCCAGTGGTATGCCAATTGCTTGTATATATTAAATTGATCAAATCCTAACTCCACTCTCACAAGGTATACAGATGCCTAATTAAACTCCAAATCCCAGGATTTCCTAGGATGGAAGCAAGATGATTAAAGTGGTATGAAACTGATACAATTGTGCACTGCAGGTACAATCTTATTTTCTTTTTAAATGGTTTGGGATTAGAAATGGGCAGGAAATGTACCAGGAAACAAAATACCCACAAATCAGGCTGTGTCATGATTTGTTTCAGGGCAATTCAGGGAAATGCGCCTATCCAGAATGAGAAGAAAGGATGAACTATTATTGGTGTTGGCTATTTGTACACTTCGTAGTCTGTGCAATTTGGGAATTCCAAGAGTGGCAGAATGACCCCTGCCCAAGTTAGAGATGCCAAATTCACAGCAGATCTTCAGCTTATTCTCCTCCTCACCCCTCCCCATTTGGTGAAGATTGGATTTGGGACTCCTGACTTATAGCCCCCCCCCCGTAGGTTCGCCTAGGAAATTGCTCAGCTGGCTTTTGTCAGAAAGTTCATGAAAGTTTGTGGTTCTGGGTTCATGAATAGTGACAAACCCTGAACCATAATGAATTCTGTTGCCCTGGTTCATGTTCATCTCTAGTTGGGATCCAGCTCATTAATCAGCTTCCATGGCTAGAATTCAATTGTCATATTGTCCAGAAGTTATTTGCAATATGGCAACTGTACCCTTCATTCTTTTCATCTCCTTATTTTCCTACATGTTCCTACTAAGCAACAGGAACATTTATGTTCATTCTCATTTTCTTGGCACATTAATACATACAAACATATTAGAACAGTCATAAACCTGCTGTTTATGAGACCATTAATTTTGAGAAGACATGTTACTTTTCAAGAGCTGGGTGCCTGTAATCTAGTGATTCAACAAATGGCACCCCTTGCTACTGACTGTTTTCCATTAATTAAAATTAATGAATCAGTCTTTGAAATGAAATAACTTCAAGATTCAGAACATTATGGTCCGATTGATGATCACACTCAGACTGGGATTTCACAGTCTCTGAGGTATGGCAGTGACAGAGAGATGTTCAGTATTATAGATTACTTCTGTATAGAAGTCACCCATCTACAAACAGTGAGTAAGGTGACTAATAACTACAATAGTCAAACATTATCAAAACAGTTTAAAAACATTTATAACAATAAGAAAAAAAGAGATAAAACCAGACAATTAAACACCAAAGAGGAGACACAATATATATTAAGAGAAGCAGAAAAGAAGAAAACAATCAAGTCATATTGACAAGACAAAAGGCACTTTAAAAAGTCTGTGCTTTCATATGTCCATGCCAAATATAACTCAGATACTGGGAAAACCAGGGGGAAAAACCCTTCCCCCAAAGATTTCCCGATTTGGGCAGACTTGAACACAACCTTTGCAAAAATGGATGCTTCTAGTTTCAGTAGGTCTCCCTAATGATCCAGTGATAAAAGCTGCAGGAGGTTGGGATGGAAGGGTGACAAATGTCTAAAGGTACATGTGGAATGGGGCTGCTCAAGGATGGCACTTGCTCATTGGCAAAAGAGATTATATTTGAAGCCCACCCATCAGGATATTTTGCTATTGGAAGCAAAAGGCGAGATGCTACCCTTTCCGATTCCTTGTAATAAAGCCAAACAGACCTTGAATCTTTTGTCAATGCTGACAATTGAACAACATCCGCCATGGCACCTGAAATCAATGGGCTAGTTTAAGGGGCACAGGGTAGATTGTGTGGCACACAGGCCTCTCTTCTAACATGGTTCCTGCCGCCCAGGATCTGACAATAGAGGCAACCAGTTAATGTTATGGCTGGCCTGGGACCTAATCAACAAAGCAGAGTGACATGATGCTTCAAGAGGAAACCACAGTACTCTCAAACATCCAAGGTCATGCTTGCTTACTTCTACTGAATCCTTGGCCTGTAAGATGGTGAAAGTCAACAGGCGAATGAAAACGGATCAAGTCCTGTTTGTATCTCTGAAGGACATCACTTGGAAAAGTTACTTTTTGCATTATTACTCCTGGAACTGGAGCATTCTGAATTGTAGTTCCAAAAAAGGGTAGTGTTTCCAAGCTCTGGTGGAGAGGTAAACACTGCTAATTCTAGTAAATCAGACGATGCCATGCTTTCCCCATGAGTCCTCTTTCTCCCATGCTTCCAAAAGTGTTCCCATCTCCTTTCCCAGTCTTGTCTGAGAGGGTGGTCTTGGAAAATACACCCAGCCTCTCTTTTTAACAGGCACAGTTTAAATACGGGTCCATTAGAAATAACATGTACCTGCTGTTCTGCTCATTTAGTCTAATTATCCTGTGCTTGCTCTGGGAATAAGGGCAGATTAGAGCTAGCAATCTTTCCCGATTATACCCATATAGGTGGAGCATTCCTCCCAGGCTGCTTTCTTTTAATTGCCAAGGTTCTGATACAAAAGATCATGTACACTGATAAGTTCATTATAGAGAGCATGTTCAGATAAGCAACTACTGATAGTCTATGAAACGGATGCCTAAGACACAACTGCTGTCTCATGCACTCCGCAAGAAGCTCAGGAACATCATTGTGTTCGAAAGAGACCAGTGTTTCGGTGACTGTCCAATCAAAACTGGTCAGGAGGACCTTTCTTCACATGCCGCAAGAAAGCGGTATTTCTTCTCCCACTCCATGGTGCTCTTGAGCTCAAACTGAGAGGAAGGAGGGGGGAAATAACATGGTTCCTTTCGACACATGCTTAGGAGGCTAGTTAGTAAAAAGATAGAAAGGGGTGGTATTTTGGTATGCAATCTAATGCACCATCCCTTCCATTTTCTATTCTGATTAATTACACACAGTTAGAAGCAAAATGCAAGGAAGATAGGGAAAGTTACAGAAAATTGAATGCAGACTTCCAGAGAATAGCAAGGAGAGACAAGAGGGCCTTCTTAAATGAACAATGCAAAGAAATAGAGGAAGATAACAGAAAAGGAAAGACCAGAGATCTGTTCAGGAAAATTGGACATATTAGAGGAACATTTTGCCCGCAAGAAAGCGGTATTTCTTCTCCCACTCCATGGTGCTCTTGAGCTCAAACTGAGAGGAAGGAGGGGGGAAATAACATGGTTCCTTTCGACACATGCTTAGGAGGCTAGTTAGTAAAAAGATAGAAAGGGGTGGTATTTTGGTATGCAATCTAATGCACCATCCCTTCCATTTTCTATTCTGATTAATTACACACAGTTAGGAATGGAATTCTTAGCCTGGTTTGTTCCCACATGAGATAAAACATATCTCCACTGCAAGTCAGAAGTGTTATCTGTGCATGTGTGTGTCTTTTGGTTCCTCAGAGAACTGTTGGTATTTTTAGACTGCTTTTGCCCATTCTGGTGTATGCATGAAACTGAAAACAGCAAAAATGCAGTATGTTGTTGCACAGACTATTAAAAAGTAGAAGCATTCAATGCAATCTAATGAAGAATGCATTTGACTTATATATACAGAACAACCTCATCCATAATGTGTGTATTATCCTTCTGTTTACAAATTAGTAAAATAAATATGTCCTTCTGAGGCTAATGAGCAAAAAGCAAAGTGTGCTGCTTATATACTACCTCATAGTGCCTAAAGCACTTTCTGGCTGCTTTACAATTTAATTATGCAGACTACACATTGCCCCCCCCCCCGAAAGGTGGATACACAATTTACCAACCTCAGAAGGACGGAAGGATGAGAGAACCTCTAGCCGGCTACCTGGAATACAATCCAGGTCATGAGCAGAGTTGGGCTGCATTGCTGCAGTTTAACCACTGCACTACGAGGCTCCTCTAATCACCTGAAAAACACTAATTTCACAATAGCTACAATACATCTAATCTGTTTTCTGACTTAAAGGACATATTTCACCATCTGGAAAGCTCCAAATGGTGTCTTGTTCTCACATTGGAGGCAAAACTTTTGCTGGACCTGAGAAATCCTCAATGCTTTCCCTACTGAGATGGGCTGTGTTGACCAAACTCTGGCCGGATATGAGATTTTACTGAATCCTTCTGTGCAACTAACTATGTGAGAGAGGACAGAACATGGGTGAAGGTTTTGCTTAGCAAACACTGAAACTATCAGAACAATTTTATCAAGACAGGAAGGCCTGGTTGCTCAAACTACTATGGCCTAAATCCCATCTAAACTAGAGTAGACTTGTTGAATCAATTGTTCAATGGTGACTCGATACATATGAAAATCTATTGCTTCCTTCCAACTCCATCATTCTATGATTCTATGACTGGGACTGGTAATAGAATTCCTGCCCATTCAGGAAGAGGACAATGGATGTCATCCACTTTCTCATTGGCTCTCTTGAGTCTCTTCATCCACACTTGCTTTCTCCAATTTTGATGGCCATTGGAGAGTGCAAACAATGGCCTGAACAAGACACATGCTTGAGAAGCCTTTCTTAAAATGTATGGCTGAGTTTGGAGCTGGCTTGGCCTTTACTGTGCCTTTTCCCATCTAGCTTTGTTTTCTACTCTCCTACCCTGTGCCTTTCCTAATTATGAAGGCAGCAAGATGGAGAAGGACTGAGAATCTGTTTGATTCCAAAAGAAATTGGGTCCTGGGGAAAGCCAAATTTGTGCATCAGATTTGGCCTGGGAAGCAACAGTTTCCTTCCTTGTACAAACTTTAAAAGCCTATGACATTTTGTTTTGTTCACATAACATCTAATTGATGAGTTTTATAAACATGGCATTATTTCAACATATTACTCATCAATCCTTCACAAACTGTTCCAGGTTTATGCCAGAGCTGTGTATCGTTTTTCCTTTCGTATAAGGTACAACCATTTCCAAATATAACACTGCAAAGGTAAATTGCAGCTGTTAAATGCATAAATTGTCTGTCATTGGGTTAGTATCTCAGATAACTCAATTGAACTTTAGCCGTTGCCATCAATTAGTATTAATTGATTTGTATGATGACTCATTTTGCCTACCCACATGGGGATAATCAGAAACTAATTGGACTACCTAGTCTTTAATTGGAGACTTAGAGAACACAAAACAAACAAAATAGTCAGTGTGGCAGTAGTACAGCATTCAAACTGCCCACACAGCAGAACAAATCACAGACTTTAATGGAGCTTAGTGTCTTAACTTAATTATGTTTATCCAGAATGGTGTGGCCCACATTAATGGGGCTTAATTCAGTACTAGCTAGCATGGTGTCATGGTTGGAATAGCATTCTGGAAATCTGAGTTCAAGTCTCCATTTTACCACAGAATGACAAAATCACAGAATAATGTTGGAAGGGGGCTATAAGACCATTGTATGCAACTCCCTGCTCAATGCGGGAATCCAAATCAAAGCATATCTGATAGAAGGTTGTTTAATTTTCTCTTGAATGTCTCCTGCATTGGATCACCCTGATTGGTTCCATTGTACTGCTCCGACCCCTTGGAATTTTTTTCCTCTTGTTGTTGTTTGTTGTTGTTTAGTCGTTAAATCATGTCCGACTCTTCGTGACCCCATGGACCAGAGCACGCCAGGCCCTCCTGTCTTCTACTGCCTCCCGGATTTTGGTCAAATTCATGTTGGCAGCTTCGATGACACTGTCCAACCTGTTTTCCTATAACTTGAACCTGCTATTACATGTCCTGCACTCTGGGATGATCACGAACAGGTCCCCCCCTCCTTTGTAGGACAATGTTTCATATATTTGAAGAGTGCTATAATATCTTCCCTCTGTCTTTGCTTCTCAAGGCTAAACAGGCCCTGTTTGTTTAGTCTATCGATATAGACTCATATTCAGCTTGTGGTCTACAACAATTCCAAGATCCTTCTCACATGTACTGAGCCAAATGTCTCCCATCTTGGAACTGTGCATTTGTTTTCTTTTTCCTGGGTATTGAACTTTGCACCTTTTCCTGTTAAATTTCATTCTGTTGTTTTCTGGGCATTAAAGTAACATCTTGACCCTGGGTCAACTACACTCTGTTAGTTTGCCCTACCTCATATGGTCGGTGTGAGAAAAATAGACATTAATCTGACTGCTAGTCTAAATACTGAATCAATTGCTGAATAATGAGCCAACACTAATGTAAATCCCATTGACTGAAAGGATGTACTTCAACTGAGATGACCAACTGGAATATGGCTACAGACTGACATTTTGGCTTGAGCTCAGTGGAGGAGAGATATAATAGAAATGCAATAGACATACATACAGCTATGAACAACAAAATATGTATGACTATGGTGGTATTACAGAATTTCCTATTTATCTGGGTAAAAACATCACAGTTCACACATAGTGAGTGCCACATCACTAATATTCTCTTATCCAGATCAAAACTTCTGGACGTATGTGAAACAGAAAGTAAGCCAGAGACACAATATTGTCTAGTCATGTAGGTGCTCAGTACAGATTTGCAACAATATCTCAGCAATCAGGTATCAGGAATCCTGACTAGGTTGTTTCCAAGACACATTTTTTTTACTGAATACAAAGATACAGATGGAAATGAGAGGTTGAATCCAATTGACAATCCTAGTTAGCAAAGGTCTGCTTTAAATTTTGACAAAAGAATACATAAAAAGACCTCTGACATAGTGATTTCAAAATTTCAGAAAGTATCCTGGTACCTTTTTAGAGGAATAAATCAGTTATTGCTACTGGGGAAAGCACATTTCAGTGATACATCAACAAGCTATTCTTGGGGCAGGAGACACCTTGAAAACTTGTGTGGCACCTCAAAAACTTTAAGAATCCAGGTTGTGGTACCCTACAGAATTGTGAAACTTTCTGGAAGACCATGGGCCAATCACCTTCTCAGAGCCTGTCTTACCTCACAAGGGGGTAGTGAAGGAAAAATGAGGAAGAAGAGAGTCATGTGGACCACCTTAAACAGGTGCGTGCACACACATCTCTTGCCACATTGTCCCTTATCACAGACACAACTGAACATGTCATCTGAACCACTTTGGATAATTCTGTTCTTTGAAATCAGGATGGCAGGCAATATTGTAATTCTGTGAAGTACAAGAAGGTGAGCCATTTATTTTTTTATTTTTTTAGTTAGATTTCTATCCTACCCCCCTAAACAAAGTCTACTCAGGGTGGGTTCCATTAAACATTACAGTCATGCCCCACTGGATGGTTACCCCGTTTAATGATGAATCCGCTTAATGTTGAAGTTTTTGTGATCGCAAAACGATGTTTAGATTGGGTTTTTTCGCTTCACATTGATTGGTTCCCTGTTTCATGAACTGATTTTTCGCTTTACGATGATCAGCAAACAGCTGATCATCGGGTTTCAAAATGGCCACCGGCTTTCAAAATGCCCCCCCCCGCTGTTTTCTAGGACGGATTCCTCACTATACAGGCACCGAAAATGGCCGCCATATGGAGGATCTTCGCTGGATGAGCAGGTATTCAGCCCATTGGAGGGCATTGAACCAGTTTTCAATGCATTTCAATGGGGTTTTTTATTTTGCTTGAAGATGTTTTTGCTCTACAGCGATTTCGCTGGAACAAATTAACATCGTCAAGTGAGGCACTACTGTATAAACTAAAACAATTAAAACAATAATGTTAGTAATGCTCAAGATGGGAAAACAGAAAATTATAATAAGAATAAAATCAGGTATTGACAGGAGGGAAGGCCTGCCTGAAACCCCATTGATAGTAAAAAGACAACAAGTTTCTCAACTTTCCATTGAATTGGAATGGTTACTGGCACTTACTGAGGCTCTTGTATTGATCCACCGACACAGTGAAATCTCTCTGGAACAGTCTTCCAATCTTTAGCCATTGTAACCATTGCCCCAGCATCAAGGACACCATAACCAAACAAATGGTTGAATTCTAGGCCAACACCATTTCTTCGCCACTGGTGAACTTCATCATGGAGTTGGTTCCTTTTGGAGGTGAGCACTGTTAAATGCTGCATGTCCCTCCATGTCAGATCCCCACTGTAAGAGAACAATACAGTGAGAGTTGCATCACTAGAAAAAGTGACTGTAGAAAAGACTACTCTTTACAGCAGCCAAAAATTGGATACATCAGTTATTCCACCAATGGGGAATAATATTTAATAATCATGATAATAATAATGACACGTTATCAAGTCAGTTCTAACTTATGGCAACTCTTCTCATGGTTTTCTAGGTATTGAGTACTCAGAAGTGGTTGACCATTCCCTTCTTTTGGGGGTGCCCTAAAGATTAAGCAGCTTGCCCAAGGCTACACAGGCCAGCTCTTCTCCTGAGAGGCACAATGGGGAATTGGACTGCCAACCTCTGGCCACATGGCCAAGTGCTTAACTCACTGAGCTATCCAATGAGTGTATTGGAACCAATAAAAAGATGGTCACAAAGACGTGAACACATTTGTGAGTCCCTCAAAAGTCTTAACTGGATCTGCCTCCAAATAAATGATGGCTGATTCTTACATTCAGAAGATGAAAGCCTGGTCCCTCTTGCATCCCAGCACACCTTGGTGAAAGTGAAATCATTGTACGCCAAGCACACCCAATGCTTTCTTTCATTATACTGTAATGGTCCAAGCAGATGTGACCCTACCCACCCCTCCTGCTGGAACCACAAGCCACCCTAGTCTTCCATTATGAGATTTTGAAGCAACATCTTGTTCCCACTCCCCCCTTATCTTGTGATGTGTTTGTCTTTGCTGAAAATGCGGCTGGAGGAAGAGGATGAACAAATTAAAAAGTTAGTTTTTACTACGTTATGATTTTTAAAGTTAGGTCAATGTATCACCTTACAGTTATTTTTGGATTTCCTTTCACCTGGTTTCAACATCTGGTGTGATTGAGTCAATTCTGACAAAAACCCTATGATTAAAAATACATATAGAGATTGTATTCCTATGTCCAGCTTCACATCAGCCATTTCCATGTATTATTTTTAAAGGCCACTGCTCTAGATTAAGATTTAGACAAATATCATCTGATTTTTCAATTGAAGATAAGGCTGCGCTGCAATTTTAAAAATCAGCTTTTTAATAGCTAGATCTCTGGGAAAATACTAGTAAGCTATCCTGAAAGGAGACACATTGCCTGAAATGCTATTGTACAGTTATGCAAACAGTAGTTATGTAACTACTGGAAGTGAATTGCCTTAAATCTCCATAGACCTTGTCTGTTGTGTCATGCAAGTTAGCCTGAAACAGACAAGGTCTACAGAGATTTTTTTAACTTGCTGAAATTCTCCTCTAAAACTCACATCCTTTGTGTAACTGTGCAAGTGGATTTCAGCTATTGTGAGAAAGGATAACACTTTAAACTGTAGAATTTGGTAAGATAAAGAGATGGCCACTAACTCAGATGGTTCATCTCCTGCTTGTGAGCTTCCCAAAGGCTTCGGGGGAGGCACCCAGTGTATCCACTAGTATTTTAGATGGTTCATCTCCTGCTTGTGAGCTTCCTAAAGGCTTCGGGGGACCCAATGTATCCACTAGTATTGTTTTGTTTTGTTTTCATGGACATGGTTGTGCAAGGATGGGAGAAGGAAAAGCTCACAGTAAAACCAGTCAATATGTCCAGGAGGAATTTGCTTGTAAACCAGAAAGTGACCATCCCATGACAAACAAAAAGGTTGTGGCCAAATCCACTGAGCCAGGGCAGTTCTTAATGGAAATAGATCCCTAGCAAACATAAAAGATCCTCAGCATTTCGGAAATTATTAAGCTCATCCTGCAATTAGTCAGAGTGAAGCAGGTGCTCCAAACATGAGATTTTGAATGTCATGAAAGGTCAGCACACAGTTACTTATTTACTTTGTTATTATTGTATTTTTCCTGCCTAGGGAGGGGAAAGATGCCGGTGGAAAAACAGCATGGCTAGTTTCAGGTTTTAGGTATCTTGACTGAGTGATAGCGGAGTTTTGTGCTGCTTTACTTCAGGCAACAAAATGCTTTAGATCAGCCATGGAGTGTATATACATATATTAGGGAAATGAATATTTATTCAAGGAGAAGCAATTTAATGTACAGTTTTAGTTAGATAACATGGCATTTCAGACTCCAGCTCATATGAGCTTAAGAGGTTTGTTCATAGCCATAAATGGGAGTTCTTTAAACTCTTTAACAATATAATTGATGGCTGTTTTCACCCACTTTGCCTCCAGTGCGAGTGCAAACACTCCTGCTGCCTCGGGTGCAGCTGCAGATGTTCCAGAATGGCGTAACGTACAGTTGCCATATAAATCTGTGGTTGCCTGCAAGAGAGTAGAAAGGAGCAAAATTAGAGGAACGATCCCTGTTCTCTGCCAAGGGAAAGAGACCTCTGTGTGTGAGTGTGTGTAAATGATAGGAAATATTTGATAGGAAATAAAATTATTTGGCCTCCCAGCTTTTACTTTTTAAAATCCTTTTATAGTCAGTCTGATTCCTTTCTTTATTAAACATCAGTTAGTTATAAGCAATTTTTTAAAAAAACTATTTGAAAAATATATTAAATATTTCAAAATTCATTATTAGTTGGTTGGATTTTAGGCATTTTAGATTCAATGGGTCAGCTGTGAGATTTGCCCAATGATACGTGGAGAGCAGGGCATTGGAGAAGATCTCTTTATCATGTGCCATCAAGTTGTTATGGTGATTCTAAAAGGCTTTCCCACCCATCTGAGGCGTTCAAGGAGTGATTCCATGAATTTGCACAGCTGACGAACCTCCGTCTCCTGAGTCTGATTCCAACACTCCATGCATTACATCAGCCATTCTCAAAAGGGGCCATAGGGTTCCCTGGGGGGCCCTGGCACATTTGAAGGGGTCCATAGGCTGGAAGCAGTTCTGCACACTTTGTAAGACTCATTATGTGACTCATACAATCCTGATTTGGCCTATATTTCTTTCATATTGTGTTTATTGCCATGACAAAAAAGGGGTGAAAATGGCTGCACTACACCGTGCTGGCTTTCTCATACACAGATACAAAGGAGTCATAGACCTCTAGATATATCAAAATACTCCAGATGAAGAAGCATATGTTTAATAGTTCTCTGTTGAGAAGGCCACAGGAACTAGACCAAAGGAAAGAAGATCTCAAAACCCTGGTCCAGCAGATAAAATAGGAATTGCTGGCAATCGGAAGCGAGAGCATTCAGATATATGACCCTTCAACTGGGAGACTGAAATGGTATAGTCCAGCAACCAATATATCATACAGCGTTTTTAATTGTTTGTTTTAGATAGCAGGTGGGAAGATGCTTCAAGTTCCATCTAGTTTTGTGAAGGGCAGATTAAGAGGAATGTGTATTCCACATTTCCCCTCCCATGAAAGGACTTCCTGTGGGATAAACACGTCAGCAATCAGGATCAAAGGAAATGATATGTATACCATGAAAGACATCTGTTTTTTTCACCATGTCATTTTCCTCAAGTAGACACCTTGCATTTGGCCTGCTCTGTGATGGGTCACGAGAAGGAAAACACAGGTTTTATTTGCAAGGCAGGTAATTCCAAAGATTGCCTTAATGTCTAGTTTGACAGAATTACACATGAAGCCTGTGCTAAATAGTCACAAAACAGTCCAGCTAAGTGCAAGAGATGTAGGTGAGAAAAAAAATCACATGTCTTGGCGAAGAGGCAACTTTCACCCCTTGAGAGAGCACCTCAGGACATCACCTCATTTTAACCCGGATCCATCATGATTACAGAAGGACAAAAATCAAATAATATGTTTCTCACCACACCAGCTTCAGGATTTCTCTTCCTCCCATTGCTAAAAGTTGATGCCAGGGTTGATGAGCAACTTTCGTCATATAAAGCTGTCCGGCCATCATTAATAGCAGAATTGATGGAGATGGTCCACATGCTTGAGGCATAGCCATCACAATTACAGTCATCGTAACTTCCTCCATCCCCAGAGGCCCACACGTAGATGCTTCCCTTGCCCCCACGGCCCTGCAGAGAAGGGGAAAGTCAGCCTGTCAACTTCAGGGTTCATTCAGGCCTTTATTTGATTGCACTAATGTGCTGAGAAGCTGTTAACATGGAAAAAGAGCAGGTTAAGATTAATAAGACACACTGTTGCCTGAAGTGACAGATGCATTGGGTTCGACATGCTTCCACTTAGGACACCTTTCAGGGACTCTCAAAGCCTTTTGTGCTCAGACTTTTATCTCTTTATTTTCTCAGGATCCGAACGATTTGTCTAGCAGTTAGCAAGGCACACTAGAGAGAACCAATCTGGGAAAAATAATAGGGAGAGATATACAGAGGTAGCGTGCTGTTGCGATGGATACAAGTCCACTTAACTTGTAAGGTCACTCAGTTACCACAGGTACCAGTAGAAACAACAGCAGCAGCAACTTCTGATCCAAAGACTCTGCGCTTTGCTGAGAAGACTGAATGGTGTGGATACATATTTGATGCAAATAAAATCTTTATTTTCAAAGCAAATGGCAGGAGCAGGGAGACCAGAACCACAGTAGGTGACAGAGATCTAATGCCCCTCTCATTCTCTCTACCCAGGCCTCAGTCCTGACTATGGACTCACAATTTACTGCTATTTATATATATATCTGGTCTAAGCTATCAACATAATCGGTGGCTACATCAAGTGTCTCGTCTCTTTTGACTTTCAAACTGTAGTAATAAATCCTTTGTCCTCTTGGGAACTCAAATTCTGCAAGGGAGGTTGGGATCTCTGACAGAGTTAAATAAGGCCAGGTAAGCTCCTGAAAACCTGATATGTATATTTGTGATATTCTTTTGTTTGCACTGTGTAAGAATAGGTAATTCTTTATCCTTGTAGAAAAATGACACCTTGAAATTCTTCAGTTTTTTGTCTTGTATGCAGTCTGCTCCATTTTAATTTTTTTTGGGGGGAGGAGAAGGAAAAATAAAATAAATTATTAGATTTTCAAAGAAGCAGTTTAAACAAAAGGAATATCCGGAGCTTAGAAATACAGTGATGCCTTGCTTAGCGATTGCCTCATTTAACAATTTATTCGCTTAGCGATGAGGTTTTTGGAGCGATCTTGCGCTCCGTTTAATGATGCTTCCAATGGGGGAATTTCGCATAGCGATGTTCGGGACCTTGTTTCGCTTAGCGATGACAGTTTAGGTCCCCCTGTTTCGCTTAGCAATGTTTTTGACAGCTCCGTTTTTGCTATTTTTAAAAGGTGTTAAATTGTTTAAAAAGCGTTTAGAGTGCTTCAAATCGTTAGTGCACTTAATAAACCCTTTGTTAACCAAATTTGGCTTTGTTCTGACTCTTTTTGAATTTTTGGTGATTTTTTTCTCCCCCATTGAAATGCATTGAAAAGGTTTCAATGCATTCCAATGGGGGAACCGCGTTT